CCTAGACCCCACCTCGCGCCCTTCGCCCGCCTCTGGCCTCCTTGGTCCCGCCCGCTCCAGTCCCGCCAGCCCAGTGCCCACCTTCTCATTGAGGGACCGGAAGTTAATGACCGAGAAAGTCTCGCGGCTCTAGGCCCCGCCCCAGGCCACGCCCTCATGCGTCATCTTCCTGCGCCGCCGCCGGAAGTTTGGCTTGTGTGATGGTGGCGCGCGGCCGGTACCCGAGATGCTCGCCTGCGGCCGGGGGTGAGCGATGACCCGGCTACTGGACGTGGCGCACAGAGTCGTTTTGGCCGCCGTGCGCTGCAGCGGCCGCGGCTGCCACGGGCTCGCCATGTTCTATGCCGTGAGGAGAGGCCGCAAGGCCGGGGTCTTCCTGAGCTGGTGAGTGAGCCGCGCCTCCCCGAAGGGGGTTGGGGGCGGCCGTGGGCGGCTTCCGCTGCGAGGAGGCGGCTGTCACACCCGCAGCGCGCGGCCCTCGGCCTGGGGCAGGGCGCACGGGAGCCCGCGGCGTCGGCGCGCAGGTGCTGGCCGGAGGCCTTCACTCCGCCCCGAGGCCTTCACTCTGCCCCGTTTTTGTTTTCGTTGGGAGTATCAGAAACGCCCCTTGTAGTCGGGGGGTGGCCGGAGGCCTCTACTTAACCCTTCTTCCCCTCTGTTGTAATGGAAGAGCTTCCAAACGGTTACACGTAGTGGAACTCAAAGGGATCTGATCTTCCCTCCGTGTTTAAAAAGCGAAATTGTTGTGAGCTAATGTTTGTGTCCCTGTAACAACCCTTCGAGATAGGTGGGATTATTGTCATTTTCGGGTGTAATTACCGGGAGCAGGAAGGTCACAGGGCTAATGAGTGACAGGTGTAAGATTCGAACCCACGTGTTTTCATTCACGAACAGGACTCTTCCCGCCCTACAGTATCAAGGTTTATCGTCAGCACACGTGCGTTTATGTGAATGCACTTGTTTCCCCTGCGGCTGTGCTGCTGAGGAAGAGGCAGCTCAGAAGCGGACCTTTCTCTTGCAATGGAATGATTAAACACCGAAATTGTAGTGTGCTTTTGAGTTTGAGGAAAGCCTTATGGTGCTGGTGTACCGTCTGGCTGGCACATAGCGAGACAGAGAGTGAAGAGTTGGACAGGCAAGGTAAAACTGCAGAGTAAGGCATGACGCGTTGCCCACAAGGAGCCGAGAGCCCCAACTTTCTTCACTCTATGCCCAACCTAAGAAAACCCCTTAAGAAATAGGGTAAGTAACAGAGGGAGGAAGGGAGTAACACTTCGCTTTGTTCCAGGAACGAATGCAGAGCACAGGTGGACAGGTTTCCTGCGGCCAGATTTAAGAAATTCGCCACAGAAGAGGAAGCCTGGGCCTTTGTCAGAGACTCTGCGAGCCCGGATGGTTCAGAAGGTAGTCACGTCATTGTGACACTTTAACCTGTTCAGAGCCTTCCGTACCCCAGGTGTTACGTGGTCTCTGTAGCTACCCTCTGTGCAGACGGAGAAGGTGTTGTGGCTGCTCCCACTTTACATACTAGGGAACAGGCTGAAAGCCTAGTGTTTCCTGCTAGTAACAGTGTCAGAGACGGGCCGGGCTCAGGTCTCGTCTTCCGTTCAGTGTTCACACTGCACTTAATTCCATCTGTTAAAAACACTTATTCTTGCTACTGGATTAAATGGGCTCTAGTTCTAAAATGATGAATGTGGTTCTTTTCACGCCGTGCTCCTGTGTGGTGTTTCCTTCTTACTTGGGACAGAGTCACACAATTGGAATTTCCTCTGTTTTCACACGTTTCAGAGTAAGTGTATTTCACCGAAGTTTAAAGCCTGACATGAGGGACATTAGGTAAGCAGAACTGAGGGTGACTGCTTGGAGCACGAAAGTCTGCAAATACATTAGAGCCTGCCTTCATTACATTCACTCACAGACTTTTACTACAGTGGGTTAAGACTGACCAGAGGGCATTTTAAATCAGCTTTTTTAAAACAGTCTCTCGAGCCCGCTGAGATGCTCGGCATTGAGCCCTGCTCCTCTGTGGTGTCATAACAATTCTGGACGAAGTAGACTTCGAGGGTGGCGGGGAGGGCAGATCACACTAGGAATCCACCCTGAAAAGCACGTTTCTGAAGCAGGGAGACCCCTACTCGCTGTGCAGTGCTTCGTCCTCCGTCTCCTTAAAGGGGCTGTGATGTCACAGGGGAATTTCCTGCTTGAACGAGAAGCCAGCTTGGGATAGAAAGCAGGTTTGGACGTATGGCTCTTCCTTAGTTAGGTTCTCAGTACTTCCTTCTCACAGGCTTTCCCTTTAACCAGTTAGTAATTGATTCATGCCTCAGTTCTTCCAGGGAGTTTGCTTATTAACTACTCTCAGTCCTAAGGCAGGGGAGGTCTTTGTACCTGTGAATCCATCTTTCTTCAGAGCTGACAGAGACCTTCCCACCGGTGACTTACGTGAGGTATATAGGCTGAGACTTAACATTGCTCCTGTTTGAGAACCATCCCAGAGTGGCTGTGTTAGCCCTTTCCCAGTTTTTCTCTTAATCTTACATTTATCCTTATTGGGGGATTACTGAGCTATTTGCTAGTTGTTGTGGTTTATATAAGCTGGTTTAGGGTTAATTTACTCAAAGAAAAACCGAAGTTTTGTGAAGGAAAAATTGTGAAAACCATAGTCTCCTTTTTCTTCAAAGTCTTACCTGTTCTTCAGCAATGTCCAGTTCAATTTAACACTCTCTTATAGCAAATAAAACATTTATGTTAATATTAAAGTTCTGCAAAATCATCCTTTAACACGCGCCTGTGCGTTTGGGTTCGCTTCTGCAGAGTGTTCCCAAGGTCAGTGTGAGGTAACACAGCTATGGCCAAGCGGAAGTACCAGCCGTTGCTCTGTGGGTGGTGCCCTCACTCCAGCCTTGCTGGACGACCTGACATTCTTCCCAGGGGTGTGGGGTGAGGAGCCATGCCTGGCGGGGGATTGCAGCTTGTGCCAGTCTAGCGGGTGCTCAGTAAACGCCAGAGCCCCGTGTCTCCGTCCTCAGTTTGGGGCTTTAGAGCAAAAGCGATTCTGCAGTGTTGGGCTGAGGCTGTCATCTTGGGGCACGGTGGCTTCTCCTCCTGTGTCCATGTGTCCACGTGTCCGCCCCATAGAGTGACAGCACAGGAGAGGCTATCTTGGATCACCCGGTGCAGGGCCGCCTTTCACAGCAGCTGGCAGGGGCTGAGTCAGTTGGCTGAGCTCACAGCAGGTAAAAGGCAGAGCTCAGACAGAGGCTCTGCTTTGACTCCCAGTCTGACCGGTCTGTGTCAGCTGCCGTAATAATAGGAACGAGGGAATGAGAGTCTGCTGCCCAGGTAACCTGCGGGGGACCAGCCCCTGTGGGGGTTAACCGCAAGTGCACCCTGGCTGGGCTGCTGGAGGAGAGCTTCCGACCCAGCTCTTCCTGCGGGGCCCAGCCCCAATGCCTTTTGGTTTCCATTTCCCTTTCTAAGTATGTCCCGTTATCTGTTCTCAACTTAGATGCAAAATTTTGGTCCTTGTTTTTTCTGGGGAAAGAGCCCCTCAAATTTTCAAACTGTCTGTGATCCTTGAAGAGTTCAGCACCCGTGGTGTCTCTGCTGTCTCCATTGAAACCAGAGTTCTTTTCCAGCATAAGCTTTGCTCTGGTCTTCACACGGCCCTCATCCAGCTTTTCCCAGACGTCGCTGCGACGGTGGGGACTGTCTGAGTCCTTCCCTCTTTGGAGAGCCTCCTGCAGAGGATGTTGAGGCCTGACTTAGCGAACTGCTGGATTCTCAGTTATTCTGTGTTGCGTTCTTGGTTTCTAGCTTTTGAGTATACCCTCTCTTTCACTCTCTTTCAGGGCAGAATAAACGCGTTCAGGAGTCTCAAGTGAAAGCAGACAAGCGACTCCGTGAGCCCGGGGATGAAGGTGAAGGTGAAAACACAGAGCCACGTGCAAAGCACGTGAAACAGGACGCGGAGCCGCTGCCTTCGGGTCACAGAGACACGTTTTCTTACATGGGTATGTGGTTTCCTTGGATTTTTAAAATTTTTGATATGATCTTACAAATATATTTTTATGTGTAAAAGCCTTTCTCACTTTTTTAAGAAGGGAAACTTGCGGTGAAGTTTAACATTCTTACCTTGAAGGGTTATTTAAAAATTTGTGAGGTCACTGTCTTATGATTAATCAATCAAATGGTACAGAATTAACGTTTTGGACATTCGTGGAACTGTCGTACAGGCTACAAATGAAAACCACTGTAATCTTTGTAAATAGCATTATTTCCTGTGCAGAGTATCTCAGGTTACTGAGAAAATGCAAAAACGTCGGCTCTTCAAATAAGAAAGGCCCTGGACAGAGCTCCTTTGTCTCACTGGTCGGCAGCAGGCCTTAGCCTGTGACGTGCAGCCTTTGCAGAGCAGCAGCTGCGCTGCCTTGTCCCCAAAGCACGACGGGCGTGAAGTCTTCTCTGCCTCGAACTCCCCGAGTCAGTCGTTTATATTTAGGACTTAAGTACGATGTCTTCGTTTTGTCTTTCACGTGTGTGCATAGAAAGTAGGAGTAGACGGCATTTTTCACATAAGCTGCTATGTTACGAGGGTCCGGGTTTTCCCTGAAAGAAGCCATTTCGTAGGGCAGATAACCAGGCAGCTGTATCAGAACTTTGATTTGATTTTGCAGTTATGTGGAAAACAAAACCGAGTGCCCTTGGTCTGATTATTTACCAGTAGTAATGGAGGCAAACACTTGTGGGTGCCTGGGAGAGGAGCCCTCTCCAGGGGACCCGGAGCGTCAGAAGCACGGTGGCACCTAACGCAGGGCCGGGCAGGTGCTGCTGCTGGGACAGAGTCGGTGACGGGGAAGGCCGTCGTGTTGACAGCATGGCGTTCGGCTGAGGGAGGTTTCCTGGCCGGCACCCTGTTCTCATGGCCGCCAGCCCTGCTCTGGGCAGGAACCGCTCCTCCATCCTCTGACACCTCGCCACCTCTCCCTTTGCCTCTGCCTGTTCAGTCTGCCCTCCTCTGACCTCACAGAGCACGGCCTCTGTGTGCGCCACCCCTCTGCCCTTGGACACCTGGCGACCCACACCCCCCCGCGGAGAGCGCTTTGCTGGTCAGCGGGGTCCGGTGGCCTGGTGTCCCCCCTCCCCCACCTCACTCTCCGCAGCGCTGGTGCACCAGTGAGGCTCTGCGTTTGGCGGGGAGCAGACGGGACCACAGTTCACGAGTGGCCGAAGGACCAAGAGAAAAAGTTAGGCTGACGTTTGCCAGAGGACGTGACCTTCTAGCAGGCTGGTCCTCATCAAGGCACTGTTTGTCTGTAGGGACAGCTCCAGAGTGACCGTGGCCTGCCCTCCCTGTGAGGAGAGGGACAGCGGTGGTGTTCGCTGACCTCTGGAGCAGGGGATGTAAACGGCAGTGGGTTCCAGGCTTACAGAGTGATTGCCTTCACCTATGACTTGACACAGACCTGAAATGGCAGTGGATTCCAAGCAAGAAGTCTGTTCCCATGTGAGCAACTGGTAACGTTTCCCTGCACAGAGCACTGCCGCAGCGCTGGGAACGCCCTCTGAGTTTAAGATGCCAGTTCAACCTTCGTAGATGATGTAGGTGAATTTCAGCCCTCAGTGACCCTGACCCACCCCCTCTGTTTCCCGCTCACAGGGGACTACGTTGTCGTCTACACTGACGGTTGCTGCTCTAGCAATGGGCGGAGGAGGGCTCGAGCAGGGATCGGTGTTTACTGGGGGCCAGGCCATCCTTTGTAAGTAAACCAAAAAGGCTGCGTTTTTTAAGCTTCAAATGGAAAGGTATCGTGTTGCAGAACTTGCAGAGGGTTAGGCGGGATCCGCTTATCGTTTGATTACTTGGTAGCAGTGACAGGTGGCAGGAGAGTGGTCCTGGCAAGGATGCACGAGGGGCAGGTCCCCAGACCCGGAGCCCCTCGCACGCCCACACCTCTTGAAGATGAGTGAGCTTAGAGGTGACCCTTGTCTTTGAAAACTTGCAGAGGCAAGGTGATGCAAAGTGAGGTTATGGATACACCTGGTCCTGGGTGTGAAAGAGCTCCGGCAGTAACTGATAGCCCCCAGTTCCGTGTGGGAGCGGGATCTGACCCCCGTGGGGAGGCGCCCAGGCAGCCCCTGCGTGACGCCAGCACTCAGCACTGACGCTGCTCTGTGTTTCTCTTGAGCCTCTGCGTCCGCGAAGTCCTTCCGCCTTCCCTCGGTGTCTCATTTAGGTTCGAAGCTGTGAAGGGTGACGAGCATGTGTGGCGTGAGTGTCCACAAGTTTAGTGCGTTTCAGGTCCAGAAATTAAACTTAGCTTTTGCCTTCTGGTCCAGAGTTCTTCTGTAAGACCACACTACAGCATTCGTCAACAAAATGTTAGTTTTGTTGGTTTGATTTTTAAAGGCAGTGTTTTTGTATGATGTTCTCGTAATTCAAATAAAAATGTATACAAGCCTATTATCTTTTAAGAAGCTTAAGGTATTATTTTGAGAATCAGCTTTATAATTTTCTTTTCTTTTCTACTGTTTTGAAACCAGAAATGTAGGAATTAGACTTCCTGGGCGACAAACAAATCAAAGAGCAGAAATTCACGTAAGTCATCAGATGTGTTTTTCCACTTAAGGCATCAGTTTTTCGTTCTTTACCGTTGACTAGAACGTATCGATGGACTTCCTGTTCTCTGTGTGTAAGGTCCTCAAAGTCCAGAAGAAACTTCGTTTGGGGCCAGTAACCATTGTGAAAATAGGAATTTTCTAGAAAAATTGTAAAACCTGTTTCACATAGACGGCTGAACAGGAGACTTGTACGTGGAGTCTTACTTCAATATTATCATTACAGTTAGCACAGAAAAAGGAATTTAAATTTTAAAGTTTGAAGTAATTTTGAACGTCAGTCAGGTGTAAAGCGTGACCATCGATCTGTTTCTTCCAGGCAGCCTGCAAAGCCATCCAGCAGGCAAAGGCTCAGAGCATCAGCAAGCTGGTCCTCTACACAGACAGCATGTTCACCATCAATGGTGAGCGCCTGCGTTTTGCCGCTTCTAGTGTTTTTCCAGTAGATACGAGGGAGCAGGTGTTTTCCTACCCGAGAGCAGGGTCCAGATGGTGACAGGGGTGATGCTGGCTCGTCTGGTGTAAAGAAAGTTTGAGGACTCGGGCTCCCAGTTCCCCTGCAGTACTGGCCAGGGGGCATGTCTTTGCTGGGTGACGAATACATGGCGGTAAGGTCAACGTGGCCCTGCTCTTGTTGCCCTTCAAGTGTAAACGTGTCTAACTTAAGCTGCAAGCCCCTCTGGGAAGTGCCACGTGTGGGACCAGGGGGCGCAGGTGGGGAGCTGGGGTGGCAGAGGCGGTGTCTTCGCGGAGAGCAGCAGGTTGAGCCCAGGTGAATGTAAAAGGAGTGCAAAGTCCAGAAAGCTGCTCGGGACGCGAGCGGGCCAGTGGCCAGGCGGAGTCTGGGGGGGAGAGGTGGCCAGAGCACTCCAGGTCAGTGACCGTGCACTTGCGCTTCTCCTAGGAATCACCAGCTGGGTTCCAGGCTGGAAGAGGAATGGGTGGAGGACGAGCACCGGGAAGGAGGTGATCAACAAAGAGGACTTCGTGGAGCTGGACAGACTGGCCCAGGACATGGACATTCGCTGGGTGAGTGTTTCCCGAAGTGGTCACGCCTTGTGGCTGTCACGACCGAGAAGATGAGGTAACTAGAGCTCCGTGGTTCCTGGAAGTGGTGGGATGGCTGCAGTTAAAAGAGCGGTTTGTTTGGAGTGGCTGTCGGGGCGCGTGTTGGAGCACTCTGTGACGCCGCCGCTTTGTCAGGTAGTGGTGGGGTGTGCTGAGCGCTCTGCTCTGGGCCTGAGGCCGAGGGGCAGTCTGTGCTGTTCGCATCCTCGCCAGCCGCACCTCAGCCTTCCCAGTAGTGACCTGTGACAGTCAGCCTCTGGGTTTCTTTGGAAGAAGCCAGAATGTCAGTTTAAACTCATTTATCAAGTATGTTAGAAATATAGTCATGTGATTAGACCTTAGTAACATGACTTTTTTTCCCCAAAATGGAGGTATTTTTTGTATAATAGGTAACTTTTAGTAGGTGACTTTTATTAACATTACTTTCCCGGGGAATACAGAGCAAGTTACACCGCAACCATTTCTCAGCCATCCCCTCCCTTCCAGCCCAGGACCTCTGTAACCGGTGGGTGACCTGGCATTTACCCTTGTCTTCCAGCAGCACGAGTGTAAGCGGTGTTATATCACGTAAGTCTGTCCCTCCTCCGTAACAGCATGGACATCTGCTCTGCCCGGAGAGCTTGCCGGGCCCCACCCCTCAGTGGGGAAAAGCAGTTTAAACAGTAAAATCCAATTTGTGGAGATGGACTTTGTCCGCACGTCCGTTGTGTGAGTGCACTGGGGCCGTGGCTCGTGCTGTGGAGGACTGTGCCGAGGAAGAGGGCCCGTGAGGGGCTTCCACGCCGCCGCCTCCGAGTGGTGGCGGATTTTTACAGTGAGGAAGTAGTCACGTGCTGCTTGTGAACAGAATTAGTAAAAATAAAAGGAAATGTTTTGTTTCACAGATGCACGTTCCTGGCCATTCGGGGTTTATAGGCAATGAAGAGGCCGACAGGTTGGCGAGAGAAGGCGCTAAGCAGCCTGGAGACTGAACGAGGTCATTTCATTTTCGGGAAAACTCAAGCCAGCGCTGTCTTGTCTCCTTCACTTACTGGCGTGAAAAATAAAACTGCAGGATGGACTGTTGCGATCGAGTCTGAAGTCTGGCAGCCACTCCCTGAGCTGCCGCACCGGAGCGGGGACTCCTGGTCTCCGTGGGTCTGTCCGCTCAGCCGCCTCCCTCAGACGGCCCGCCCGTGGCCGCGGGCTCCGTGGGGCTCTTCCCCACAGGTGCCAGCGCCGCGAGGTCTCGTCCCTCGCGGCCGCACGCACGCCGGCCCGGGGAGCCACCGGCCCTCAAGGTGGGCTGTGTGCGCAGTGCGGAACCCCCAGGGCGCGCCCATCACTCCCAAAGCTTTTTTATGCTGCTTTGAAATCCCCCCGACTCCCGTCCCCAGACAGCCTCTGGTCTGCTTTCTGTCACTAGACTAACTTGCATTTTCTAGGATTTAAACAGTCCCGCAACATGGACCCCGAGTCCGCCTCAGTCACTTGGGACGCCGTGCTGACTCTGGCCCGTGCTATGTGCGTGGTAGTCACTCCTGTCGCTTGCCGAGCGGCATTCCGTCGTGTAGGCAGGCCAGCTTGTGTGACCGTTCCCTGCTCGTGGACGTTTAGGTGGTTTGCAGTTCTGGCTGCTGTATGCAAGTTGCTGTGAGCGTTTGTGTCCTGGTCTCTGTGGACATTGGCTTTATTTCCCTTGGGTGAACGCCGGGGAGTGGACTGGCTGGGTCGTGCGGCGGGCCTTACGTTGACGTGAGTAATCATGTGCAAAGAAGAGCGTTCATTAAAATATGCCTCAAATTTAGGATTCTTTGGTGATTTTGGGGAGCCACCAGTGGAAGGAAGGGCCTTGGACAAACACAGATACGATCGAGGGAGCAGGAAAAAGGGCTAGTGAGTCACTTCGCCCCGTTTTACAAAGCTCTGATCTTTAAACCCAGAGATGCACGAGAGCTCAGTGTTAAGGCCGCTGAGCCACCGATGGGACAGAGGCCTTTTCACCCAAGACAAATCAGTTAACCACAAAAGACAAAGACTAATTTAATTAAGACAGCTTTAATTAAAGTTATGAATTAAAAAAAAAGACGTTAAAAAGCCACAAGCATAGACAAACGAGGAGAAGAATCTGGAACTCGTATCCCAAGGGCTAGTTTCTGTGGCACACGCAGAACTCCCGGAAGCTGAGGAGGGACTAGCAGAAGACTGGGTCAGCCATGGATCACTCACGCCGCTCCTGGCCCTCGGGCAACGAGAACGTTCGCTTGGGAGAGATGCAGGTTGAAGCCACACTGAGACGTTTGTTTCTTATTATGGTGACATTAGGTTTATTAGCAAAGATCCATCAGTCCCAGAGGGTGTGGCAAAGAACACACTTCTGTGCTGTTTGTGTTGAGCACAGATGGTGCCACTCGGAGCAGTTGTGGCCTGTCTGTCAGACTGTAAATGCGCCTGCTGTTGGTCCACCAGCTGCCCCTTTTTGGAATCAGTCCTGTAGATACATCTGCACATGGACAGATAAAAGACAGTTTGTGGTGTCAGAGAACTGGAAACGACACTGGGGACAGGCTGGGTGGCCATGGGAGAGCCATGGTAGCGTCAGCTGCAGCCTTGAGATGGGGGCAGAGCCCCCCAGCCCTGGCATAGGGGTGGGGAGAGGACAGCGCGGTCAGGGCTGCCGTGGGCTGCGTCTGTCAGGGGAGGATGCAGACAGGAAGCGCGGCAGGCCCGTGTCACCAGGACCCAGTGAGATGGTCGGGGGTGGATCTCTGTGTGTCACCTTGACTTGAGCCATGTTGCAATACTCGTAATGCCATGTTCAAAAATCTTAGGTAAAATAATTTCAAGGTTCTTTTTCTTAAGTGAACAGTTTTTTGAGGCATAGTTGAGTCACAACGTTGTATAAGTTGCAGGTGCACGACATGGTGACTCACAGGTTTAGAAGGTCATGCTCCATTTGCAGTTTCTACAAACACCAGCCATGCTCCCTGTGCTGTGCAGTGTGTCCTTGCGGCTCACTCATTTTACACACAGTGGTTCATACTTTTTAACCCCCCGTCCTACCCCTCCGCCCTTCCCTCCCCGCTGGTGCCCCCAGTTTGTTCTCTGTGTCTGTGAGTCTGCTGCTTTTTTCTTACATTCTCTGGTTTGTTGTAGTTTTTAGGCTCCGCGTAGAAGTGACATCATACAGCATTTGTCTTTCTCGGTCTGACTTACCTCACTTAGTGTAACACCCTCCAAGTCCATCCATGCTGCTGCAGGTGGCAGTTTCATTCTTTTTTATGGCTGAGTGATACTCCATTGTGTGCATGTGTGTATCTGTGCACACCGCATCTTCCTCATCCAGGCCCCTGTTGATGGGGTGATGGACATTTAGGTTCCTTCCATGTCTTCGCTCTTGTGAGCAGTGCTGCTGTGAACACTGGGGCACACGGGACTTCAGAGGCCTGTTTCCACAGAGAGCAGGTAAGGGGAACGGGTGTGCCGACCTGCCCCACCCCCCTGGTGGGAGCCCCGGGGTGCTTGCTCAGCTGAGGGTTTTGAATCGCACCCTCTGTGCTCTGAGTGCACATCCGCTGTGGTCAGACACGGGCTTCTCCAGCAGCACGAGGTCCTCTGTCCCCAGGATTCGTGTGACAAGCAGAGTGCCCCTTGCAGGTATGTGACACACTTTGTCCTAACACTTTAAAACCCAGAGGCCTGTGTACCTGGGTTGTAGCTGTTACAGCTGATGATGTTACTGTCCCCGAATTCCTGTACTGAAGCCCTAAGCCCCAGGGTGGCTGTGTTTGGAGATGGGAGTGTTTCTCCTGGTAAGAGTACTGGTTTTTTGTTTTGTTCTTGTGTGTTTATTAAAGTCTGATGGGCAAGTCCTGTGTTGAGATTGTTGAGTAGCAAAAGGATGAAATGGAAAAAGAGAAATTGGATTCAAGACAAAGAACAGAACGGTGGTCTGGTTCCTCTGCGTCACACCGTGCAGGAGCAGCCTTCTGTATGATGTTTTCAGAAGGCTCTGGAAATCTTGGCTCTTCTGGTCACAGCCCCTTGGCCACCCCGCGATTGTGGCTCAGTGTGACGTGTCTTCGTGGGGCTGTGCCCTCGGAAGGGCCTGTGCTCAGGGCTCTCCAGCAGCGGTGACTTTGCTGGGCCTCCCCGGGACGATGAGGTCACGTCGTGAATGAGGTCACGAATTAGCTGGAGGCTGGGAGCGCGATAGTGTCCTCTTCCTTCTTCACCAGCCCCACCTTGGCATTTGTTCCCGAACCCACGCGGACTAGGGGTTTCTGCAGAGACGGGCCCAGCAGCTGCAATGTGATCAGCCCCGAGACCTGCCGGGGTGTCCTTGAGACCACAGGGGTCCCCAGAGGAGCATCGCTGGGCCAGGTGTGCTACGTGTGTCCGTGTGTCTGTGTTGCTTTTCAGGGAAGTTATGCGAGTTTATGTTCCTCCAGGACAGTGTTTGCAGGGAGCACCCTCGCTCGTGTTTGTTAAGTGTCCCCTCCCCTCCCCTGGAAGTGCTCCTCTTCTGCCCTGCCGGACTCCCCGCTCTCATGCACTGCAGGAGAGGCTTCTGGTGGGGCTGGACACCCTGTTTACTGTCGGCCGTTTGCAGAGAAGGTGGCATCACACTGATCATTCAGGCTTCGTCAGGGTGTTTCAGAAAGGAGCAGACGTGCCGCAGCGGGGCGCTGGCTGACAGTGCTGTGTTCTGACCTGCGTGTGCTAAGACGGCAGGTCTCAGGCATGCCGTCCCTCCCCCACACACTAAAAAACGTAATTGAGATGAAGGATGTTTTAGTTAACTATGGTAGTCATTTTACAACATATACATACATCAAATCACAGTGGCCCCAAAGTAGAACCCCATGCATATAGTCAAGTGATCTTTGGCAAAGGAGCAAAGACAACACAATGGGAGCAGAGTGTCTTCAACAGATGGTGCTGAACACCTGGACCCAGACCTACACCCTGCACAAACGTGAACTCAAAACCGATTGCGGACCTAAACGTAAGATGCAAAACTATAAAACTCCCAGAAGATAATAGGAGAAAACCAAGATGACCTCAGGGGTGGTGATGGCTTTTTAGCCAGAACACCGGAGGCATGACCTATGAAAGAGTTAACTGATAAACAGGCTTCACTAAGATTTAATTAAAACTACAAAAGACAGAATGAGAAGATAAGCCACAGACCAGAAAATACATGCAGAAAAAAAAAACCACATGATAAAGGACTGTTAACCAAAACAGAAAGAACTCGTAGGACTCCACAATTAGAAAACACACAACACGATTAAAAATTGGCCTGGCATTCGCAAACACCCCTCCAAAGAGGACGCGCGGGTCGCAGGTAAGCACGTGAGAAGGTGCGCCGCGTCGTGTGTCGTCAGGGAAATGCAGGTTCTCACAGATGTAGGTGCGTTCTTACCACACAGCCCGGCAGTTGTGTTCCCTGGTGTTGACCCAAGGGAGTTGGGAGCCTGTGTCCACACAGAAAGCTGCACGTGGACATTTATGGTCGCTTTATAATTGGTAAACCTTGGGAGGACCAAGATGTCCTTCAGTAGGTGAATGAATAGACGAACTGGTAAATCATACAATGTAAATATTACTTAGCCCTAAAGAAATGACCTGTCAAGTCATGAAGACAGTGGAACCCAACATGCATAGGACTGAGTGAAAGGAGCCAGTCTGGAAGGGCTCCGTGCTGTGTGACTCCCCCTCTGTGACATTCTGCAAAAGTAAAATGACAGAGACAGCAAAGGATCGTTGGTTTTGGGAGTGGAACAGGCAGAGCCCAGAGGACTTCTACGGCCGTGGAGATGCTCTGTGATGTGTTAATGTTGAACGCATGGCACCCATCTGTCCAAGCCCACGTGCGACACGGCACCAGAGCGCACCCTCAGGTGCGCTGCGGACTTCGGCTGTTCGTGCTGGGTCAGTGCAGGGGCGTCGATCATAATGTGCGCCCCACTCTGGGAGGGGGTGTGGATGCTGGGGGAGGCGTGGGGCAGGTGGCAGTGTGTGTGTGACGGAGGGTTATGAGAAGTCTCTGTACTTTCTTTGCTGGGAACCAAAACTGCTCTAATAAAAG